TGCAGCATTAAGAAAAACGCTAAGACATGATAAAAGAATGAAATGTGTGTTCAATAATATAATAATTTAAATTTGTCGTTTAAAAAGAACTATTTTATTCATAGGCATTTCAAAAGTCATAAAATAAGTGTTTAATGAAAAAATTCTTAAAACTGTAGGAAAGGTTACGTTTAAGCTGTTTTATTTACATTTAATAAAAATAACTAACGACACTAAATTAGGTGTAGATAACTTAATGATTGTGAATTATAATTTTTGACTGTGCCAAAATGTTTATTTCTCTATGTTTTTTAATGTTAATTAAGGCAGTTTTATTTTGTCAGCGTCTACAGCATTTAGTGTAGTGAAAATAAGAAACGTTTTTCTGTTACATAACTTTTTCAAAAAATTGTTTTAGTGTTTATATCACTCACTTGTGTTACTACAGATGGCTTTGAAGTTAGCACCAGTCACAGTGAACATAATAACTGCATGGGTATCTCCCAAAATGCTTTTATGTTAAGATAGCTCCCTTGCGAAAACCTACGGAATGAAGTCTGTTTTATTTAATAGGTTTTGATCTACAGGATCCAATGGTGTCCTTGTTTATACCCAAAGTGGAGCAAAATCTCGAGATATTACAGCTCAAAACTGTACCTTTGACACGAGCTTATATGGCAGAGCATCAAAATATTAGCTTTGCAGGCATTTCCTAACTCACAATAAAAAACTTGAGCAGACAAACTATGATGTACTTGTAGAAAAATCTCTATTCTTCTCAATACTGTCATGTAATATGCTGGTAATGGGGCATTTTTCAAAGATATTTGCCAAGGAAGACGTAAAAATCAGCTTCAAGGTTATAAATGACAGACGATAGCAGAATACTAATACTGATGTACGTATATACGTATACATACGCAAGTGAAACTCTCATATTTGACTAGAGCAGTAGACAAGGAAGATACCTTAAGGCCTGAGCTCACTTGCTGCTCACCAGTAACGGGGAGCGGCAACACAGTTTTGTAGGGTAGATTCGTTGAAAATCATTTAGTTTAACAATTTTGTCTTTAATGTCGTGAAACATGGTCCTGCAAGAAACTTTAACAACCTCTTAACGTATTACAATGCTTTAGCACATAAATTGTTCAGTTTGTTTTTCTTATTTTGTATTGTTGACAACTCTCCAGTAATTGGTGCCTGTGCTGAAATTGGGTAATTTACTCCGTCAGCACAAATTTCATCCATTATAATTATTTGTGGATTTTTTATTATATTTTATACTCAAAAATTTTTGTAACTCACCTTGACTGCTGTTAATTTCAACTGTTCTGTTCTTAAGTATACGGCAAAAATTGTGACATTGAGGTCAGGAATTTTTATGGATTTGTCCAATTTTGTTACTTAAAAAATAATTTTCTCACTGTTTTTAATATAGAGTAAAGAATAATAACTCCATAAGTTCTGCATATATTATAAATAATATTAATTTTCGTGCAGCTTTTATAGAGCTTACATATCTACTAATTCAATGTAATGTGTATTTTTATCGTAAATGTTCTGACTCGTATTTGTTCTCTGAATTGTAAAAAATGCCTGTTTATTTGGAACGTAAGCATTTAATTATCCATTTAATGATATTAACACACACTTTATTATTTGATTTGTAACTCTTATGTCTATTTAAAAATACCTCACTACATTACATAATTGTTTGGACAGAATTTTCCATCATACACTCTTGATCCGCCACTTCAGTTCTTACCACTTACTTTACCCTTAACACTATCCTAAAAAATAAGGAAAAATTTAGTTTCTATTGTTGTTATTGTAACCAAATTGAATAATTTAAAGAGGCAACCGACCCATTCTGACCTTTTCACAGCCCTCTCACATAATTTAAAGGGCCCGTCGTTATACTCTGTACATCACTGATCACTGATTCCATTCACTCACCACCCTACATCTTCCAATATCCACTTATCAAGCAGCTTAGAAGAGTAATATTCTTTTATTTTTAATTGATAAAAAATTTAAGAGCCTTTAAAATTGCCACCTCCTCGTTTAGATTCAAGAAAATCATAGCAGCTCGCAAGACTCTGAGCGATAATGCTGATCCTTCATCTTTAATAAACAGATACATAAAAGCTAGAATTAGTTTTCTTATTAGACAGAAAAAAATTTTCCAGGAATCTCGCACTCAATATCCATAAGAATGCAATACAAGAATTGTCTCTGGATTCTTGAATTGGCTTGGTTTAAAAAAAAATGTGCTTCTCGTTGTTCCTTATTTCTAACCTATGGAGATGGCTCTCCGTAAGGGCACTGTCCAAATACACATATGGGTAGTTTATACAGGTTCTGGGAATTCAACTCATATTATCAAGTTAGAAAAGGACTTAATGAATAAATAAGACATAAGTGGAATTGTCTACAGGATGGTGGGTGGGGGCTGTGTTACAATGGCCAAAGTAAAAGATACTTACGGGTACGTTGAAGAGAACACAAACAATACATAAAAAACAAGGACGAAAGGTTGGCCCTGTACATTGCCATTCTGTACATTGTCTGCAGGTCTTTCAATTGAAGAGAACAGTGATTCTTGACAAAAAGCCTAATAGGTACAAAAGCGAGTTTTCTGGACTGATTTTTTTAACATCAGTTAACAACAAAATAAATAGATAATAAGACACAAAAAAACTCACCAATTCTCTATTATGTATATTTAATGTGTTCTCCGATCTTTAATTTTCTTTATCTTTAAATGTAAGTTCCACTTCAGTATGATGTTTTAAGGAACAAAGTTCTCTAATTCTGTTACATAACTAAATTTTTAAGAATATGACTTTCATTAAGTTGCTTCAAAATGTTGATGAAATTATAGGTGCCATCGGTGTCCATGTTACGTGTTGACTTGGCACCTACATGGTACATTGTCGTAATTATATGTATAAATTGATTGTTTTACTTCTTTTGAATTTTTACTAAATTGTATTCTGTTAGAGTTGTAGATTTTGAATCATGAAACGGCTGTCAGTAGGATAGCGAAATATTAAATAAATCTAAATAAAATATTAACAAATAGTAATGCTTGACAATACCAAGTTTCTTTCTTAATATTACTTATGATGACTAAAAAGCAAGTGAAAGGAGTACGTAGTTATGTATTAATTGTCCAGGTATGGTTGAAAACTCATCTGATACTACATGGTGTAGTTTTTACAAAAGATATTAACTGTGATTAGGAAGATAGACTCACATGTTTTAGATTTTTCTGGCGCTGAGCTTCTTTATGGCTTACAACGATACCTTAGTTTAAGATGACATCTCTGAATTTCTTACTTTAAACACTACAGTTACAAAGTTAAACGGTAACCCTTTTTATTCAATTCCAGCTTTTTTTGTTGAGTACAAAGAATCTTAAATTCATATTTTTTAAATCTTTTTGAACAGTATATTAATATCTCTTACAAATTAGCCAACATTAAGTTTAAAAACACCTTTTTACTTAGATGCAGATCGTGTGGGGTGCCACCCAAACATATAAACAATAGTATGAGATATCTTTATTCTCTTGTATATTATCGTGTATGTGTATATCTATAAATTAATTGTTTTACTTTTTTTGAACTTTCGCTAAATTGTATTCTGTAATAATTGTAGATTTTTAATCCTGAAGAGGCTGTCAGCAGGACAGTGAAGTGTTGATTGAATGAAAAAGAGATATTACTAAGTAGACATGCTCTACAATACCAAGTTTGATTCTTAATATTAATGTTAATTATAGTCATATATTATTTTATTCTATTAAATTTTTTTCTTAATTGTGAGGTGCTTCAATGGTGGCATGTATTATAGATTTATAGCTAGGTGGGGCAAATAAAAATCGTAGGAAAACCTTTTAAATTATTTAGGTGCCTACGGAGAGGTAAAAAAATATAGGCTCTAAAAATTATTTGTCTTATTTAAAATAACTGCAAAGTAATCGATTCTTTTTTTATTTTTTAGAAAGCGTTAGGGGTGGAGTTCATGGCAGGGATGGAAGTAGGGGAAGTCAAGACTGATAGGTTAAAAGTTTTTCCTTAAGAAAAACCTAATATGAGAAGGTATATTGATTTTTTTTTGTATACAGTTCTACAATGGCTTATTTGTATACTTTTCAGCCCCTTCTTATCTCCCTCACCCCATCATGTAATTTTGAAAAGTTATTGACTATTGAATGCTCATTTTTTATGTATTTGATAAGTTTTCTTCTCTTTTTTTTTTGCACTTCTTGCTTTCCTCGAGCCTCGTCACTACCCTAACGTATTTATGTAGCCCCCTGGCCTTTCTCACAGTTTATTTTTAGTAAATAGTTCAATTGCTGCGTGAATTGCTTTTAAGTGAAAAATAAATAATAAAATGTGTCTTGTAGTTCTAAAGAAGGTCATATAATAAATCAACACTTTGTCAATTCAGAAAAAAATACAATTTATAATAACTATGGTAAAAATACAAAGTACATTGATGGCAGATACATAATTCCCATGAAAGCCGCATGAAGATTACAGGAATTTTTAATATGTTGCAGCAGTTATAAAATGTTATATCTTTTAATCTACCTTTAAAACAGACGAAAAATAATTTCCAAATAAGAAAATTAGACAAATCCATTTAGCACTAGAAAACTTATTAAGTAGCTGACAGAAAAATTTTAAAGCAACTACTATTAGAATGAGTTGCTTGAGGTACGGTTCTCAAATCAAAATTCGTGGTTTTTACTTTCGGAAAATATTGTAGGTCATGGAATTTAGAATAAGTATAAAAATTATATTTAAGAATATTTTTTAACTAACGAAGAAAATAGTACACAAATAAAGTAGAACAAGATTTAAAAGGCAGAGACGTGTAAAAATTTTAATGTACCTATACCTGAAAATAATCGTGAAGAAACAAATGATAACACAAATAACAAATTGTATTGCATGAAAATTTTTATTTAATTGTATGCTTTACTAACAAAAATATATTTTTGATTAAAGGTTTGAGAACAAACAAAAAGTCATTTTCAACATCGGTTCAGATTACAGGTAAGGAAGTTTTGTATAAGACTTAAACTCATTAATTTATTTTAAGCAAAAGTTGTTCTCTTAGACATTACCGGGTATTTTTTTAGTATTACTTTTACAAGACAGGAAAAGTCATAAAGTTGTTAAATAGTCATAAGAATTAGACAATAATGAAAATACATCTTACATAAGGAGCGGCGTTGGCTTAGTGGTAAGCGTGCTTGTTACTGATACAACGCTGTTCTATGAATCGTGGATTTAATTCCTGGTGAATGCAGATTTTTCCGAAAACTTTTTCCATCGGGAAAAGTTCCTATGTAACCCTGGCTGTTTCGGGGCGAATTTTTCCGTGAAACTTTCCTTCAGAGTAATTCCAGGGTTTTTTTTATTGCTCCACAGGTCTTCGGGTTTGGATGAATACAAAACAGTGTTAGGAGGTAGGAATTAATGGATCCAATGCGCCAGGCATAGATCGCTGGCCTTGCCAGCGAGGAGTGGTCCCAGGAACATGGAGTCTTCTCCAGGGAAAGGCTACACAGTAGCGAGTGGACCTGATGCACCGTTGGTGCAGAGAATGTCAGCTTAACTGGCAAGCTGTTTCACTGGAGATATCAAAATCCCATTTAAAAACTGCGCACCAACGAGAGTAATAATAAGCTTTTTTTGTCGTGTTTACAAAGTCTTTGTACTTTTAAGAATTTATTTTAGGGTATAAATTCGATATGATAAGTTCAATATCGTAGTTTTTTGTTAGATTTTTAATTAATTCAGTAAAGTCGTTACAATTTGGATTTTTCGAAGTTGAAATAGAGGCGTATCTATTATAACAATTTCCCAAAAGATTCAGATATTGTCTTGTTAAGCCTGACCCATGAGAACCCTTGATGGTATTTATAGATACGATTTTAAAAGAATACTTCTGTAGTCCCAACTGATGAAAGACCATAAGTTTAATATCAATTTTTTTTTTAATTTTTTTTTTTAATTTNTTTTTCCACAAGGCAGTATTATTTGTTTTTGTCTATTGAGTTCTTCCCAAATAGCAGTAACTTCCATGCAAACTTTTTATTAAGTTTTTGCTTAACTTCTCTGACAATGTGATTTCATTTATCTTTTTAGCTTTATCGTCATAAATTTAATATTTAATAGTAATTTATTTTTCTGTTCTGCACATGTAAATTTTTGTTAAGGTCATTTTACTACATCCTCTACATTTATGAAATTTATTGTTTAAAAAAAATCATTTATGTTTTTATAAGGGTCTAGAACATGGTATTTACTTAAACAGTCTGGTTTCTGGTTTTATTCTCTAAGGTTGTATTATAATTCCTTATCAATCCTTGAGTTTATGTTTATGTTTTTAAATGGTTTACAATCGCAATATATAGTAAATTCTTTGTCCATGAGCCAATGCTGTAAGCATTTCACCGTCTTTTTCGAGCCAAACATTTGAGAAAAAATGCTTTTTCTCTCTTTTAAGTCTCTGTTAGTTTTCCTGAAAAATAAGTCTCTGGCTGGATGTATCCATTTTCATCTTTTTTAAGCACAGCACTTTCTCATTTAACACTTGCACGAGTAAAAATTTCGATTGGAACATTTGGATCAAAAATCTATAAAATTAACTCTGGAAATAGTAATACTTTATTTTTTCAAATTAATCGTGACATTTTTTGACCAGTGAACTTGACATATTTTTTTAATAAGTTATGTGATAAATAAAAAAAAACAAAAATTTGTAGTATAAACTTATGATAAAAATCAATTTGACCCAAGAATGAATGTCTTTTTTTTTTCTTGTTTGCAAGACAAGAAAAACTTCTACTGCACTTATATTATTTATCAAAGGTTTTATTTAATTTTACGTTGTTTTGTAATCTTTATATTCTACATACTTATTTGCAAAAAAGCATTAAAAAAATTTAGGCTTGAAACCTTGATTAAATTTTTCTTTTAATAATTTCTATTGTTACGTCCGAACTTCAAAGTGAAGAAGAGAGCTTAAATATTCGTTCCACATACGAACAAATTTGTTTTTTATTTGTCAGTAACAAACCGTCAGCTCTAAGGCATTATTTGCTCTTACTTATATGCAGTATATACTTTTTTTAAATCGTTGGCTTGGCGTTGTGGTGTTAGGTTTCACCAAACAACATATATGGAGTGGTGTCATTGTGGCTCACGTTGAGCTCACATTGACCTACTATTTAAATTTTCTGTTATGTGATGCAGTAGACTGCTGCTGCTTTTCATGCTGCAATCTAAGTTCACGGTCTTTTTTTTTTTTGGTTTCTATTTAATTTACTTTTGAGGTGAGCCTACAGTGACTTGGTTTGCTTGAACTTTTTTTTCACAGCTTGGTCGACAAACTAAGTCTTACATTGGCTTGGAATGCATGCTTTAAAAACGCAGCTTAATCACCAAGTTAAGTTTTTCATTTGCTCAAAAGACGCAACAGAATTGACTCTCCAACCTTTATAGTGACTTTAGAGTACTTGATGAAATAGAAAAGGTGAATATTGGTATAAGCAAGGTGTTTTGGTACTCTTGCATTGATCCAAACGACCAATCAAAGCTTCACCAGTTTATTTTTAATTGAGATGAGTCCAGTTGTGGTGCAAAAATTATACAAAAATTGATGATTAAAACTGCCAATCTCCCCAATTTTTCATGAGGTACAAGTTACTGTCAAAATAATGTACAATATTTTGAATGGATATATGCAGTATAGAACTCTAAAATTGTCGATTCTTCTTATTCTTGGATGTAGCAGTGCATATTGATGTTATTGGATGAGCGCTTTATGAAATTATTGAGATATTTTACGCGTAATTAATGTTTTGCCACGGTAATTTGTTTCAAACGAACAAAATCCTCTAGCCTAATATCTCTATTCTTTATGTACACAATAAATACAAATACATATTATTCTACCTATTAAAAACCTGGAAGATTAAAGTTATTACTACTGGGGTTATAATGAAAAGCAGTTTTCTTACGTAATGTATTCTTTATTTGTAAATTTTGACGTAACTTTTTCAATCTCAAAAAATGTTCTGTGTCAGTTTCTTGAAACCTTAAATTGTAGACATTTAAAGCATTTAATATTTCCTTCTAAATTTCCCATTTGCGACTATGGCCACTGTTAAAACTTTTGTAAACCCTATTGGTTGTTCTTTGTCAACTTTGTTTAGTTGTAATATGTTTGTTGGCAAAATAGTTCAGCGTCAGATAGCCCTAAAAAAGAACTGGTGAGTTAAACTCTTCTTTGACTGAAATTTACAGCAAACGTGACTTTCTGAATCTAACTCAGGCCTGCTATTGTAGCACTAGAGTGATTAGAATAAAAATTGCAACGTCTGAAATGTTAGAGCTAGTTATAGAGCTTTTTCCCAATGTCTTCTGGTATTACGCCAGAGACACTGTTGTAGAACTCAGTTTTGTAGAACTCAGACGTTTAAGTGATCTATTTTTCCTTTGTAGCTTCACTATTTGGTTTGCCTAGCGTATACCTTGAAAAGGGTAGGTGATTCCCAGTTAAATGCTTATAGTTAAGACAGAGATAAGCAGAGAGATTGCTAACGCCAATGTTACGAGGTGAGACGACTTTTTGGCACTGATCGAGGTGACCTGCTGCAGCCAGCCGCCGTACCAAGGCGCACATTTTTCGAGAGTGTGAGACTCGTATCAAACAGCATGCGCCTACGAGTAGAGGTGTGGATTCGCGTGGAAATGAGCATGTGGTTGCACATTTTGTACGTTTATACTTATTTTCAAATCCAGTATTATTTTGAAAAATAATTAGGCTATTTTTTTAAGGGTGGCAGTTCAGCTATAAACACTAATTTACTATTTTTCTTCATCATAATTGTTATAAACTGTAGGACAAGCTCTAGAGGATATCCATGAACATTTGTGACTTTAAAATTTGTATCCCCTAAAGTTATGATAGCCGAGATGGTTAAGGCTAATGCTGCTGCTCGCATTGTTTTGCCATCTAAGGATTGATTCTGACTGTCGGCAGATTTTTTTTTTTTTTTTTTTTAATGTGAATTTTTATTTTGTTTTTTTTTTTTTTTTTTATGTTGTATTTAAATTTAAAAATAATGTTACAAACACCTTTTCTTCTGTACATTGAAATAAATGTATTTTTAATACTTATTTTACTAAATAATTTAGTAAGTTGATACTCCTCGTTGGCAAGGCCATTTTGTAATTTCATAGTAATAAAATAATTTCTTAGGATAAGTGTAATTCTTACAATTCGAAACTCCCAAGAAATTATTAACATCCAACGTAGAAGAGAAAAAATTCGAAGGCACAAGGCACAACTTACCTTTTTGTACTAATATCAAATGTGATTACCACCAGCATAGTAGAACATACATATAATTATACAAAAATATTTGTCTGCACTCATTGAGAGTACACATATAGGGGTGCTTTATGTGTGTGTGTGTGTGTGCACAAGAGCGTTGGGGGTAAATCTAGCAGGGGGAATGTGCGAGAGTTGAGTTGGTAAGGAACGCACATTATGACGGCGGCGTTGGGTAGCGGTCCGGGAGTGGGGCCTCGCTGGAGAGGAGCTCGCTAAAGAGAGCTCGGGTAGGCAGTTGGAGTCGGTAAGCCCAAGGGGATGACACAGCCATCAACCAGGGGCCCGTGTGGGACAGCCAGCACTTCTCGTTTGCCGCCGGAACTCTCCAAAAAGAAGCTAACAGCATCACTACACACTGTTGCACGGTCGAAAAATAGTAAGTGTGCCCTTTGTCTGCTGGGATCATCTTCTCATCAACTTTTGTTGATGAGTTTAGAATCGGGACAGAAAATCTCCCTGATTGCTTAATTCATTTAACTAAGTAATGGTCCTAAGTCAGCGACTGGTAACAAAGGAGGGCTATTTTCTTTGTGTGTTAAGTTTCTCGGTGCGCAGTGGTTTGGCTTTGAGGAAGATTCCCGGTGTTTCCTTGTGTTTTTCTTTACCAGACGTCGCGCTTCTTTGGGAATTATTATTCGAGTCGTTG